AGGCACTGTATGTACAGTATTAGACAATGCCAGTTTTATTCTATCCAATCACGCAGTATAAATATCCACAACCACCAAGAATGTTTAATGCAAGGAGAAATTAGGTACCCGAGCTTTAATTTTGTGAGTTTTGGTTGCGCATAGGAGACACGGGGGAGACCTGGACTTGCAACAAGCTGGGGATTGTCTGAACACGTGTCAATGGTTCTGTCCGCGTATGGTTCTGTCTATGGTCCTGTCCGCCTGTCTATGGTCCCCGCTCGGAGCCCAGGCGGCTGTGCGATCACTGAGCTCTCTTGTCAAAGCGGCTGTCACACAGCGGCCGCAGCTGCTCCCGGGGCCAGAGCGGAGGATGTAACGTAACGTTTATCAAAACATATCACCATTTTTATTGTATAAAACTAGTGAATTTCACCTAGATATTTTCAGAGATTAAAGACAAGATGTTATATAATAATTATTTAATGAAAACACAATTTAGCCAAAAAAAATTTCACTCGACCTATTTTCACTACTTACTCGGAACATGCCAGCGCGACATCCAACGAGTTTTCCCAGATCGCATGTTTGACACCAAAATTCAATGTAGCAAAATTTGTTTCAATTTTTGTATAATAAATTGGGATTTGCCGTCAGCCGCTGGAGCTCAACTCCTGACTGGAACCAGAAAGTAAGACGATCATTTTAGTCCAGTTTTCAGGTCTCTGTGCTGGATTCCTGTGAGTGCCATATCATATGAAGCAACTTGGAGCACAGGGACTGTCCTCTTCAACTCTTAGGTGCACAGGGACTGGCCTCCTGCTGGTGTCCAGAGACAGGATTTAACATGGGGAGCTGCATTTCAAATTCATGCAGCTATAATCCGGAACAGTCTATCTATTTAGCTGAGCATATAGATAAACTTTAGCTCCTGTGTGCTATGGTGAAACACTTTGGGTTGGGTTTGTATAGGAATTGTGCTATACAAATAACATGATTTATAGATTCCTTTTTTACAGAAATATGTCAATACATTTACTCCACAATATTGCATTTAACTCTATGTATAAAAATAATCTTGTTACTAACAATTTTGATCTTGGATTCAAATTAGCGTCTGTTTCGTCCAGCCTCTTTTTTGGATTTATTTCTGTTTATTTTGTTTGTTGTTTAATGTTTATATTGTTTTATTTTGCATAACATTTTAAATTAATTCTTACTATGTTATAATGCTGTAAACTAAATGCTTATAACTGTCAACCAGGAAAGAAACAACCCCCTTACAACGTAAAGCAAGGAGATTTCTTTCTCGCTTTTTCTCTAATTTCTTCCATTCATTTCAAAGTCTATCTCCACAATCAAAAAGCTGTTCAGCCACACTTCAAGTCGCGTACTCCTCCATTCACCTGACAATACGTCACTTGTAATAAAATACTTGCTGTCTGACCTCCTTCCTTTCCATCAGACCTCCATTTTGTGAATTTTGAGTGGTTTCTTGGCGGCTTGGCTCTGCTTCTTTTTTTCACGTGACAATACCCCGTCCATTAAGTCTTTATGGGCTGATGGAAATGTCACGAGGGCACCGCCGTGGCCATACATCAGACCCATTCGCTCTTGCCGCGTGCTGATTCAACACTTTTTCCCTCCGTTCTGTCAATGCGCTGCAACATTACTGTCCTCTGGTCTCATAAAATGCCTTGCTTGTTTGTTTTAATGTGTTGGCGGTTTTCTTTCCAGGATCTTCTCATGGAAAAGGGGCGATGAAATGCATTCCAGTGATAATGATGTCTGACGATGTCTTTATTATTGGTGCGTGGACATTTTTTGTTGGTGATTATGGTGGAATGCCAAATTGCAGTTGACTTGTGAGCCGCAGGCCAACCAAAGTGGGTTTCCACTCGAGTAAGCCGATCCATTTGATTTAGTTGTGCCAATGATACATGGCCCTCCAATGAAAATGATAATAGTAATAATAATATTACATAGGATTTAAGCATAGTATTAGTATGTTGGTCTGTTTTGCTCCGACTGTATTATTGTTTCTGTTATAGCATTATGATTGGTATATTTGTACAGTATTAATATGATGCTCATGAACTGTAAAAAAAAAAATCCCAAAAAAATTTAAGAAAGAAAGAGATCTTTTATTCTTTCCAGAGTGGGGAAATGTCAGTGTTGCATCACAAGTTCAAAGAAACTGGTTCAAAGAAATCATGTGTCAGTCTCCCACAAGGGCATGTTTTAGAAACTGTAGATTTGAGCCAACGTCAGTGTTGGATAAGTTATTTTGAAAATGTATTTTACATTAGTTACATTACTTTGTCGCTGCCCCAAGAAAGTAAGAGAAGAAAATCAAGTTTGTTTGCTTTATTAGAATAATTTAGATAAAGGTCAAAGTTGTTGAAAACTGGCTCAGATGGTGATGCTCGACTTGGTTAGGACATGTTTTTAGTGCAGGACAAACTGGAGCACCCGGAGGTAATCTATGCAGATTCCACTCAGAAAGGCCGAGCAGGGTTTGAACCCAGGACCTTCTTGCTATCCACTCAGCCACCAGCAGCCCTCTGGATCTCTAGTGACATCTGGCATCTTTCAAGTTTTGCAGCAACTGGTCCAGTATTTTTCTGGGACCTTGTATTTTATCTTATGTGTCCTAATGATTAAGACAAAAATGCAATGAAGAGGGAGGAACAACACATGAATAAGTCCATAATGATTTACCTGTATTTGATAGAAACACATGGGCTGAACCCTCCTCCTCCACTCCGTCTCTCCACTGTCTTACATGGCTCTGGTCACCTCTGTCAGTCTCACAGCTGCTCTGTGGCATCTGTTCTGGAACTTTCCATGTCTTTTTTTCTTCTGGTTTTCCCTCTGGCATATGCATTGGTTCTCCCCTGTGGCATCTTAACTGTTATATGTTTTTGTGACACCTGGTCACTGCTATCTGTCCTGAATAAGACAACAATGCATTGAATTGGGAGGAGGGACACATGGAATGTTCATGTGATGATTTACCTGTGTTCAATGTGAACACGTGGATAACCCTCCTCCTCCACTCTGCCTCTCCACTGTCTGGACTCCTCACTGGTCAAAAAGTAACAGACACATGAATTATCAGCTCTTCATCACAATAATCGAATGTGATAACAACCTAACTTAAACTATACTCACATAGTTTGTCCTTATTCCTCTTTTTAAGCTCAATGAGAAAACCTGGATGGAAGAAACCTGTGAATCAAAGTTGAATACCACATACAGGCAGTACATATTATATATTATATAAGAAACTTGGACACGCTGGGATACAGAGATGGACAGGCTCATTTTGTGGCATCGGCCGCTGCTAGAGCTACAGCTCATCTGTGGCACCTGTTGCAACAACTGGAAGAATTTGTGGCATCTGCTTTGATATTTATTACATCTGACATGAATCTGCTCTGATCACTGCTGTGTCCTATAAATAATACAATAATGCATTAAGTGACGCACACTTCAAGAGACAAATGGAATGTTCACACAATGATTTACCTGATTTTTGATTTGAACACATGGATGTAACCCTCCTCCTCCACTCCGTCTCTCCACTGTCTGAACTCATCTGTTTCACCTCTCTGGTCATGAAAAACAATTAATTTACCGTGCTACATCACAAGTGAAGACAAAACTTTATACGATACCTGCACAGTATATTTCCTGATTGGGCCATTTTCAATGAGAAAGTCTCACTGTATGCTTACTTTTTCATCCCTACAGAGCAAACCTGTGAATCAAAGCTATAGATGGATAGACACATGCATCCATAAAAAATACAAAGAAATACATAGTTCTAAAATTAGCAAACAAAGTCACTAAAATGCAACAGCACTGTTGGTCACAGCAGCAGAGGTGGAGTAGCCGCTAGATCGAGCAGGACTTGTCACAGCAGCAGAGGTGGTGTAGCTGCTGGGGGGGAGGAGGTGGAAGTCACAGCAGCAGAGGTGGTGTAGCCTATTAGTATTAGATAGCAATATGGCCTACGTGCAGGACTGTACAAGGACTCTACAAGGACTCCATGTTATGACTATGATGTGACTGTCTCTTTGTGACACGTATGTCTTTCGATGTGTGACGTGACAATGACTATATAAACTGTGTACTGCCTTTATTCTGTCTGAGAGAAAGAAACAGAGTAAACCAGTGGAACTTGAGAGAAACTTAAATAAACTTCCAGAGTTTGGCACACCACGATCCGTCTCTGTCTGCTAAATCCTAACAAGCCGCTGGGTGGAGGAGGACAGGTCACAGCAGCAGAGGTGGTTTAGCCGCTGGGTGGAGGAGGACAGGTCACAGCAGCAGAGGTGGAGTAAACACTGGGTGGAGGACAGGTCACAGCAGCAGAGGTGGAGTAGCCGCTGGGTGGAGGAGGACAGGTCACAGCAGCAGAGGTGGTGTAGCCGCTGGGTGGAGGAGGACAGGTCACAGCAGCAGAGGTGGAGTAGCCGCTGGGTGTTAGAGTATATTGGACATGCTGGGATGGATAAAAGACAGGCTAATGTTGTGGCTTCAGTGGCTCCTCTTCTAATTTCTAACCACTGGCAGCAGTTTTTGCATCTTGACTGGTTGAGGTCTCTTTAGTGTTTTTTAAAGGGATCAAACAGAGATCTGACCACTTGCAACACCACAAAAATAATACAGTCACAGACATAAACTGTCATTTTTTTTGATTTTTTAAGGAATCCAACGGAATTGACAACGGGAACACAACAATATTAACAGTAACAAACCTATATAAAGGATCAAACGTGAATCCGGTAAAAACAGTCACAAAAGTAACCTATATAAAGGATCAAACGTGATCCGGCAAAAGAGAACAACAACAAACGTAATATTTTTTTGTGTTTTTTTAGAAGGGATCAAACTGGGATCCAACTATGTACATATTTACAAAGTCATACATCACCCATCACCAGGACACGGTCTTGTGAGCCCCAGTTCCTCTCTGCTCCTTAAACGAAACAAAGCAGAGAGTGCATCAGTTCTTAACAAGACTTGTGCTTTTTGGGTGGATGTTTGGCGTCCGGCTCACGTGACCTTTTGCGCTTGTGCTTCTGGGCCTTCTCAGACACCGCCCAGGCAGAGGAAGGTCCAGGGATGGCAGGTGTGGGCTCAGACTGCAGGGCAATAGGGACAGAGGTAGATTTAGAGATTTGAGGAGTGCGTCTGGGAACTTTACGGACGCACGGAACAGGAGCGAACCAAGAGTCAGTCAGAGAGGTAAGCTGAAGACACCCAGGAGGAGGAGGGGCAGAGGAGGGCAAAGGAGGAGCAGAGTGAGGAGGAAGAGAATAAGCAGAGGGAGGAGGACGAGAGAGGATCCTGCCAGGGTGAACAGTGCGGAGCCAAGACACAGGGACCAAGCGCGGGACAGCAGGAGGAGAGTAAGGTTTAGGGCGCTTGGGAGCAGAGCGAGACTTAGACTTAGACTTAGGCATAGTGTCAGAGAGTGAGGACTTAGCTTAAAAGCAGAGTACTGTCCACGAGGTTTTATTGAGAAGGAGCACAAGGATCTGTGGAGGAACAGGACATGTCAAACATCACTGCAAACATTTCACACAATAGAGATTCACCACATTCTTCATTTAATTGTTTTTGAGAATATAATATTTATTCACTCATTCAGAACCTTTTTTTACCCAATTACCGTCAAAACACATTTTGTTCAAGATTTTGCTCAGTTGAGGGGGGTTTCATAAAAGAAACTTATCCATATAATGAGTTCCTCACTCTCAAAACAGTACATTTCTATCAGAAGTTTTAATCTTGTGTGTAAAAAATGTTAGATAAGGTATGTTAAAAGACGGGCTACATATACTTTTGTTTGTTTCATAACCTTACCAACAGACCACAACATACTGTTTGATATACATCTTACAATGAGGCTCATACTTGTAAGAAAGAAACCTACTATCTCACTCTCAGGGCAGAGAGCTCATTGGCTGAGTGAGGGTGGTTCTATCTTTTCACCTCACTGTCTGATAAAGCTGAACTAAAGTTGTGACAGAGGCACCAAACTTTATTAGAGGCAGGAACTCAGATTTTGTTGTTTGAAAGTTAGGTATCCCAGCTTTAAATAAGTGTAACAGCTGCAGGGCTGTGGTTTCATGTACTTTACACTTTGGTTTATTATTGTTTCATTGATACTTTGTGATGCACCTGCGGAAGCTGACAGCCCAACACCACTAATACTCAATTCAGTTCAATGTATTTTTGTATATCCATGAATCACAACAGTAGTTATCTCTGAGGACTATACACAGTTGTGGATTCACCAACACAGATCAAAGAGTCACACAGTTCAAACACAGCAAATGCAATGACAAAAAACACAGAGAACCATTGGTCTATAAGGGGCGGATGACCGATGTCCATACATGTAAGTAGATGTGAATAAATGTTGTTAAATGTTGTTCCTCATGTGTCTAAAGTCACATAAACCTGCTTTAACTTCGATCCAAGTCACTGTGTGTCTGAGTAACAGGCCAAACACATAGGGACAGAACAGGGAAAGTGGAAAAGCTCACGTTTTTTGGTCAACTGTCTCACAGTCCGGACAGAAGGGGTCAGCAGGTGTCAGCAGGTGGTCAGCAGTGGTCTGAGTATCACTGGTCAGCAGTGATGTCTCCTTGTGTAAGAAATCCTCGAGTGAAGTTTGACAAAAACAATTTGTGTAACAGACAAAGTTGTGCTCTGATTCAAAAGATGCACTGTTTTGAAAGATGCACCTATAGCAACAGATGACCCTAGCAACCCATGCAACAGATGTGTTGACCTTGTAACACAAACCTGAGGCACACTGATATGATAATGAGATCTTATGAGAAGAGAAGATGTTTTATGCTTCAGATAACTTGTTCCTCGCTCTCAAAAGAGTAAAGTTCTACTTTTCACGTCTTTATTTTTGGCCTCTGACTCATCTTTGTAAATATATGTTAGCTAAGTTACTTTAAAGCTGCACTAACTGACTTTATTTTTGTATTCTTTACAAAAATCCATATCCATGCAGTGCATTGGGATATACGTCCTTTTGAAGGAAAAGTAGCGTATGTTTGTGCTGGCGTGTCATTTAATTTTAGATCGAGTTTTCATGAAACAAGTTTCGAGACCGGATTTTGACCAATCACAGCGGATCACTGGCCCCCGCTTTCTTGAGAATAGCCACAGGTCTCTTGTTAGCACCATAGACTGCATATATTAACGGACAGAGTCACGCCTATCTCCGCCGTTCAAACTAATGGCCCAAAAAATGTGCTCTACTGGAGCTATCCAAAATGGCCGCGAGTGGTAGATAGATAGATAGATAAATACTTTATTGATCCCCCATAGGAGAAATTCAGGTGTCCAGCAGCAGAAGACTCTTTTCTTGTTGTTGTAGTACAGTTAGTCAGGTTTGACAGTCAGTCAGGTTTGTTATACAGTCTGACAGCCGAAGGAACAAAGGATCTTTTGAAACGTTACGTTCGGCAGCGTAGCGATAGGATCCTGTTTCTGCGATTACTCCTCTGAGCGGCCATAGTGTTATGCAGAGGGTGTCTGGAGTTACCCAGGATGCCCTGCATTAGAGCCCTCATCCTTCTCTCCAGCACAGAGACACACTTCTTGATCAGCCTGTCAATCCGGTTACAGTCTCTCGAGATCAGACTGCCACCCCAACACGCAACCCCGAAGAACACAGCAGTAGCTACCACAGACTGGTAAAAGACGTGCAACATTTGACTGCTCACATCAAAGGTTCCGCCCACAAGAACATTTTGAAAAAACGCATCTGCACATGCGTCAGCCGGCGCAGCTCCATTCATTTGAACGAGAGACTTCATAAATTCACCGCAAAAAACCCCTCAGCATTGACACACATGTGGAAGGGAGCTTTGGGCCAAGAGCCAACTTTTGGACCATCCTGTAAAGACGTTTTTGAGAGGTCTGCCAATGCTATATGTTAGCTAATTCTTCTTCTGGGTCCACCCCCATCGGCCCGGGGTGGTATTGCAAGCATGTCAGCGCACGTCATTTTGGCCACTTTTGAGCTGGGACCCGCCCCCACTGGTTAGCACAGACGGTTGAGGTTAGCACAGCCAGTCAGATTAGCCAAGGCTAATCTGACTTGTGTCTTCGTTACCGGTTACTGCTCACACAGCGAAACAGCCATCCAAAAGAAAGTCTCGTCCTCTCTGCGCTGGTTCTGTCATTCGATGGTCACGCCATCCACGTGCAAAAGTGCCATATTGTTCCATATTGTGAGACGCTAGCTCCAAAGCTAATAACAGCACAGGGCACAGGCTGAGGGGGAGCGGGGTAGTGGGGGGCGAGTAGAGAGATGGAGGACAGCGGTCGCATTTGAAAATGTCTCAGAATCAGTTAGTGCAGCTTTGAAGATGTTTGTATCATAGCTAATGCATTTTGATTTTTCCAATAGAAATTCTGTTCAGATCAGATTCAGATTCATTTATTTGCCATTTGCAGTAAAACCACATTGGAAAAACTGTGCAAGACTACCCCAGTGGCACCGACGATACACACCAGAGCTCTTGCCACGGCGCCATCTTTACGGCGCCATGCGAACACAGACACATCATGCTGTTGTATAAAGCATGTTCATTTGGCCCCGTTCTATCCTTCAATGTTATCAGTGACGGTGAAGTTAGTGACTGGTGAGGCACAGACTTCACCCCAATCAGATGAACATACATTTGTAGGGAATATGAAAATGACTCTTTTGCATGCTGCCCTTTCACCGCTCTGATAAGACCTCTGCCTCCCTGGGGGAGGCGGCCCAAGAAGTGACAAAACTCTCGCAGCTCCATTTTGAAGCTCTCTTCCAAAGGACGCTGTGTGGGGAGAACATCACCTCTATGCCTCCTTCATCTACACCTGCGGACTGCCCTGCAGTGCTTCAGTCCTGCACCGGACCTGTCCACGTTCAGCGGCCACTGGTCCACGTTCTGTAGCTAGCTTGGGTCCTAGATCATTAGCCTGTCCGTCCGGAGGAGCGGATCCCTTTCTCAAATGGGTCTCCCTCCCTGTGGGTTTCCCTAGTTCTCCCCAAGTCCATGTATGGACATTTTCTTCTGTGTGTGCTTTCTGTGTTGGTGATTTCAATGGTTTTGTTAAGTCCTCTGAGATGACTTCTGTTGTGACCTAGGGCTATACAAGAATAAATTGTATTGTATGCTCTCTCTCGGCCCTCCGGGGGAAAATGGAGGGCCGAGAGGCCTGGCCGTCTATACTCAACAGTCAAACCTCAGCTCCAGGTTTGAGTGGACCTCGATTCATTAATAGCCTCCAGCTTCAACATAGAGAAGTTGCTAGGCTGTGGCTCCCAGACGTTGGATCGTGCAGGGTCTTGGCTCAGCCACGTGATGCAGCCTCATATACTTATTCAGACTGAGTACACTTAGTCTCTAACAAAGGTTGCAAACACAGGCAAGCCTCAGCATTCCAATCCATTCAGGGACATTTTGGCCTTGCTTTAGCCTCACCTCACCTTAGCCTTAGCATTTTAACCATGTGTCTTACAATCAGCTTGTCCTTCATGTTATTATTGCATGTGTAAGTGATGTAAAGCCTAGCGTACATCGACAGAGAAACTGGAGGCAACTAGTTGCAAGGCGGCTTTTGGCAACTGAGAGGAGATGGTGGGAGATGATCAGTTGCCAAAATCGGTCGATGTGCGCGCTCTTACAACTGGAGATGATCAGTCGGTCTCCAGTTTCAGTCAGTTGCCCGTGTTCTACTTTTCGGTAACTAGTTGTCCTCAGTTTCGGAGATATGACCCGATGTGCGCGCTCCATGCGCCGCTCCGACAACGTGTGTGTATTGCGAGCCCGCAACAGTTTATGTCAGAAAACACACTGTAGGTGACGGACAGTTGCTGTCGATGCATATTCCCTGCTCTGTTATTCCCGAGACTGGTCTGCTACTGGGAGTTGCCCGTTTTCGTCAGATTGTCGATGTGTGCGGGGCAGCAACTCATATGCAACGGATATAATCAGTTGCCAGTCCGATGTACGCTAGGCATTAAGCAGATACATTTCTAAGCAAGTAATCTTTGTTTATATACCGCCTTTCACAGACCAGAGTCACAAAGCGGTTTACAGTTGTTATTATTTTTGGGCATTTGTCCTCTCACTCCACACAGAGATGGGAGCGGGGTCGCCAGTACAGGAGGCGCATGCCAGACCTATTGTGCATGTTTTTAGTGGTAAGGGAAACCGGAGTACCCGGAGGAAACCTACGCAGACACGGGAAGAACATGCAAACTCCACTCAGAAAGGCCCTGGTACGGCCGGGATTCAAACCCAGGACCTTCTTGCTGAGAGGCAAGAGTGCTATCCACTCAGCCACCGTGCCGCCCGGGATTTCTCAGAGTATCCCCTCTCCTTCTTAGGCAGGAATAAACTATGATGACAACGACTACTACTACCACTACTACAGGGAG